TGGACTTGAACCAGAAACCTTCCCATGTAGGATCGCCCCACAGAGCATTTCACTTTACCTATGGACCACCGTCTACTCTCTCTATTTTTAAAAAAATCTAATTTCTTTTTAATTGTGCCCATATTGTCAGCACGAATCTCTTTAGATAAGACAGCCAATCTAGAGAGGGCCATGGTCAAATTAAAGGAGCAAATTCTTGACACTAAGGTGGAAGGAGGAGACCTCCGGCTCTTGATAATCCCCTCATCTTCCGCCATCTTCTCTCCTCCAGTCCCAGAGCAGGTACAGGTCAGCAGCCAGCAGGCAACTGCTGCCTTTCTGTACCAACCCTGTCACACCCAGCCTGAAACTTCAAAGTGGAAATTCTAAGCATAAATGCCAAGTCAGAACAATCATTGGGAAATCAACCTCCTCTTCTACCATACCTTGGAAAACAGTGAAAGAAATGGTGCTTTTAAACCACTTCAATAATTGCTGAGAAATGAGAAATTGCAGGCCTTCTTGGTGCCCATGAACACTGCCAGTTCTTACGTGGTTGTGAGTCTTCAGTGAGGAGGTGAGAAGCTCAGAGTAATAGAGGTTGCCAAGGACAAGGCAGAGCTGAGACGTTTTTGTTATGCTTTACTTGACTTATTAACTTGAAATACAACTGTTAGGGATGAACGAAGGGAGAACGTATGGTATCATTAGGTGAAGTGGCTCACTTTCTTGTTGGGGAATTGTCCAATTTTCCTAAGTACAAACAGTTACTGATGTTCCAACTCACCACTGGGGGTGAGCTGTGGTGGGGATGACTGTCTCTACTATGCAGTGGTTGTGAGGCCAGTGTCAAACACAAATGAATGAACCTTAATTGTGGTCTTGAAGTAATTTAATTTCATTAGGGGAGGGGGAAGGAGGGAGGAAGTTGAGGGGTTGTGGTGTAGAGGATCTGGGCTAAAAAAGACCTGAACAAGGTTGGATAACTAGTATCATCCACAGTACAGATCTTTTTCTTTTCTTTTTTATTTTACCAGAGAGAGAGAGAGAGAGAGAGAAAGGGAAAGAGAAAGATAGAAAGCAAGAAGCTACCGGGTCCAGGACTCAAACCATGGTCAGCCATGTGGGAGTGTCCAGCACCTAACCACTATGCCACCTGCTGTCCTTGGTTTTACAAATGACTTTTCTGCCTCAAATGTTTCTTTGTAAGTCAATGGCATTTTTTCATTTACTGCTGTATGTTCTGGTTGTTAATCCCTCTGCCCAGTAATGTGTCTTAACACTTGGCAAATAATTCCGATCTATCTACCCCTGAACCCTGTTTATACTGTGGCTAGAGAACAATGTATCCTGACAACCACATGGGGTGGGTACAGGGAGTGAATCCTTTATGTAGGGAACTGTCATTCTTAGGACTATGGATCTTCTGCCAGTTTGGAAATAAAGACGTAGGTAAGATATTTAAAATTTTAATAACTCTGGTAGGAGAAAGCATTTTCTTACTCTGAACTTACATCAGAGCCTCCATCAGTAAGGGCTCAGTTGACGGGAAGGGAAACCTCTCTCAAACTGTGATCAGCCATGTGGGAGTCCAGAGCCTTAACCACCATGCCACTTGCTGGCTCCCACAATATAGATCTTTTGCTAAGCAAGCATTAGTTCCATTTGGGAAAGGTATTTTGTCTGCAGACTCATTTTCAGACCATTACAAATATAAAAGCGGAAATAAACACGTGATCATTAAGTGGCATTAGGTTCGATCTCTTTTTGTTTTTAATTTGATGGAGGATGCATGCACATGCCAGAGAGAGAGAGTGAGAATGCAGCTCCCCCGCCCCATGGGGTGTCATTGTTAGACCAAAATCCCTTCTCCTCTATCTCTGCCTTCTTTCTGGATTTTGGGCACACATGCACACATGCTCAGCATGTTTTTCAATTCTTCGGGTCTGGGACTTGAATTGTGTAGTCAGCCATGTGGGATCCCACTGCCTTAACCACTAGGCCACAGGCTCGCCCTCAATCTTCTTTTAACATCCACCTTTTCTTCTTACTTTCTCTTACGTCTTAAGGTCTGCTCAGTAACTTCCAGAATACCCAATTATTTCACACTCAGACGTCTTCCTTTACTTTAGTAGTCCCAGGACACTCATAGACTAGGGAAAACTTTTAATGAGAACATTGATTTGCTTTTTAACTTTAGTCCTATGAAGACATTAGGCCCACAGCATACTTTTTAGTTTAGTAGAAGTTCAGACTTGTATTCCAACACCTTTATCAAGGTTAGTCATTTTTGAGGATGATGAAACTGCAAAGTTTATTGAGATTGCTTCTTGGACTCAGTCTCCAAGTACTCAGAGAGCAACGTTGAGATAAATATTTGGAATTATGTGAAGTCTTCCAAAAGCTTATGGAAAATGCTTATTAGACAAAAACGCATACATTTCGAATTGTTTGCACTAAAATAATCTCATGTTTTAATTCCACAAACTTTTTAAAGCCCATTATATTGCTTTGTGTCCCTTTTACTAGAGCCAGAGCAAAGTGTGTCTGAAAACTGATTCAGGAGCCAGACTGCCTGTGTGGGGGACCCCACCCCACCACTAAAATCTGGGGGTCTTGGCACGGTCCATGGTGCTATTTCCCCCTTTGTAAATGAGAAAAATCATAGGCCCCAGCTTGCAGGTGACTGGAAGGATAACCCCAAAGGCATGGAAGAGAGCTCGTTACATACCTAGCGTGGTATATGATGGCTGTAATAAATCCTAGGAACAGTTTTCTGGGAACTCAGTAATGTTAGGATGATACTAGAATATTAAACTCCAATATATTCACACATAATGTTAATTACAGCTATTCCATAAGCTGGTCTTCTTCAAGGCACATGTACAGAATTTTGGTTATCTGGAAATAAATTATTTATTTCAGTTCTTTATAAACTAAAGGGATGGGACCAGCAGTTAGCGTAATGGCTATGTCGCTGAACTCCCATGTAGTCGACTGTGCTTCGAGTCCCGAACCTGGTGGTTTAAACTCACACCAGGCATGTGTGCATGCATGCCCAAGATCCCAAGAGGAGAATGGAGGAGAAGGGATTCCGGTGTGGCCATCCCCCCTGGGTGGGGGGTTGATTTCTCACTTTCTGTTTCTCTGTCTCTGTCTGTCTGGCAAGCACACGCGCCCTATAGCAAAAACCTCTCAAAAAAAACAAAAGGTCCAAAAAACTAAAGGGATAAAATTTCACATGCCCGGTCAACTATTTTAATGACAGAGCCTAACGATGGTACCATGTTTAATAAACATTTAACAGAGATGCAGATGCTTTATGAATGAGATCATGATCAAATGTTTTTTATAAACTGTTTAAACAGAATGAAAACATATAGAGCTGGGACGAGGCATGAGGGTTACGTGTGAGTGCATGCACACTATTGGCCCTATTTTCCTGGTCTGAATAGTTCTATAAGAAGTAAATACATCGGGACCAGCAGTTAGCGTAATGGCTATGTTGCTGGGCTCCCATGTAGCCAACCGCGGTTCGAGTCCCAGACCCGGTGGCTTAAACTCACACTGGACACGTGTGCGTGCGTGCCCAAGATCTCAAGAAGAGAATGCAAGAGAAGGAACTGTGGCATGGCCATCCCCGGGGGGCAGGGGCGGGGGGGTGATTTCTCACTTTCTGTTGCTCTGTCTCTATCTTTCTGGCGAGCACACGTGCCCTATAGCAAAAACCTCTCCAAATAAATAAATAAATAAATAAATACCCTCTTCCAAAATGTGCAGATATCTGCAAATAATATCCTGCCCAGAAGGGAAAGCATAGTTTACTATGATTCATTTAAAGCAAATTTCCCAAGATGTCAAAATAGAGTATTTATTGCTATTAAAAGATCGATTTATCTGCAGAAACACATTGCTTTTTCCCATAAAATTTGGACCATCCCTTGAAATATAATAGGTTGATTTGGCAACTGCCTCATGAAAGGATATCGGGACCCCTGACACGTTCCCACCAGCCCCACATCCCACTGCCCTCATTTCTTGCCTGGTCTGAAATTCCTGCCCATGGGGGTCAGCCCTGTGCTTAGAAAACTGGAAGCATGATTTAAAACAACTCATAATTTCCCTGAGAGAGGAGAGCATGTCCGGTCTCTGTCAGCATATGTTAGAGTCTTAAATGGTCAGGTAAACCCTGCACCCCTGTGAGCTGCACAGGGCCGGTAATGAAGAGTCCAGGCAACAGAAATCTGAGTTGTGAAGATAAAAGGACCGTCAAGAGCTGGTGTGATGATCAAGGGAAGATTTTCCATTGGGGAGGTCAGAAAGAGGACTCCTTGCACAACGAATTGACTTTTGGGAGAGGGAAGGCACCAGACACCTGGTGGAGCAGGGAGGAGAGCCTTGGGGCAGCTGATTTATAGCGCAGGAAATGAGTCTGTGTCCCTGTCCCCCTTTATCTCTCCCTCCTCTCCTTTCCCACTCCACACAGTGGGAAAGGACTAGAAAAGCAAAAGGGAGTTGGGAACGGCAGGTAGAAAGTATTCTAAGGGGTGGTCTTTGCTAGACTAGGCGCTTGTATTCCATGAGGATTGCTCATCAGTGCGCACATAGGCGGCCCTGTTAGAGGAAGTTTTGTATTAAATAAGGGGAGGGAGAGGAACTGAATCAGCAGAGGAATCAGCATCTGCCTAAGCCAAGCTGCCTGCTCCAACCCCTCCCCCAACACAGCCTGGGTAAAACAGTGAGGTTAGCTTTTCCCTTATAGTTCCTGAATGGTGACTAATTATGGTTGATAACACACTCCAAATAATAATAATTAGCACCATTTTCACCTTTTATTTTTCTGAACAGTTGGTATCGAGCTTTATATAAAGAAAAAAGTCTCTAATGATAAATTAAGGTTTTCCTCAGTTTGATCTATTTTGGTGGGGTTTTTTTTGTTGTTTTGTTGTTGTTGTTGTTGTTGTTTTTGCCCTTGTGGGGCAGATCCCACCCACCTATTCATTGTGACATTTCTTTTCTAGAACCAGAATAGGACAGACTCATATACCATTCTGATCTGGGTGCATTTCTTCAGAAGGTACGCTGTCCTCACGGGGAACTGTGACTGCCTGGGCTTGGGGCTGACAAGGCCAGCCAGAAATGGACTGCATGTATTCTCATAAAACGATTTCTGAGTGAAGTTAAGAAGTGAAACAGTGGGCACCAAGGAATATGAGTCTACTCTGACCTCTCCTTGACATTCCCTTCTGTAATATTCCCAGCAGAATTTCTGCCCAGATTCTGCATAGATACCCTTGATTTATCCGATTGATTTAAAAGAAACCAGTGGGGACATCAGAGGAGGTGAGGCAAGGCCAAGGATATCAAGATAACTCACTTTTTTTTTTTTCAAAGAGTGATTATTTTAGAATGCTTTGTTTTATTTCACAGTAGAATACCTTGCCATAGGCCTTAGGAACATTGTGAGAAAACGAACTGAGCCCTCCCCTTGTCCTCCACCTCTTTCTTGCTATTCCTCAGTTCCAGCCGTTCTCCATATAATCCCTGCAGAGGATGCTTTTTGTTACAGAGGATGCTTTTTGCTCATGGATGCTGCTGGGCAGAGGGAAGGCTTTTCGCCACGCAACACCTGCTATTAGCACTCCCAAGGCCCTTCATGCCACCTACGTTGAGTTTTCCAAGCTCTCGACCTAGATCTGCTCAACTGGGCAGCAGAAGTGGGTAGGGCAAAGAGGACCCCATGTCCTTTGGAAGTCACTGTCTGACATTTCAGGCTAGTTGCATTATCTGACCTCCTGGCCTGCTGACTCCCAGCCTTCTTGGGAAGCCTCTTTTTCTAAAATCACCCTGCCCAAGTATCACCTGGATTTAACTCTTCTATGGTGATTTGTTTATCAAACTCACCATAGAAGAATCTACCTAAATCAACCTTACAGAAAGTAAATTTACTTAGTTCTTTCACCCTCCTGGTTAGATTGGTCCAGTCCTTCGATGGCAAAAGAAGACTGAGGCTCTGTCAGCCACGGTGTTCGTTTTCTACAGTTGCTATAACAAAATACAACAAATAAGGTCGTTTGAAACAACAACAAAATATTGTCTCATGGTTTTTAAGTCCACAAGTTGGAAATCAAAATGTCAGCAGGGACACGTTGCCACTGAAGGCTCTAGGGGGGGAACCCTTCCTTCCCTTTTCCAAGTTTCTGATAGTTGCAGACAATCCTTGGCATTCTTCAGTTTATGGCGGCCATCACTCTAGTCTCTGCCTCCATTGTTAGATGATTTTCTTTCTTCCTATGTGCTTATCTGTACCCAAATCTTTCTCTTCTTAGAGGGATACCAGTGATTGGATTTAGGGCCACTCTACTCCAGTATGGCCTCAATTGACTGGTTATATGTCTACAAAGATATTATTTCCAATTAAGGTCATGTTCCCAGGTACCAGGGTTTAAGACTTCACCCTATCTTTTTGGGGAAACATAACTCACCCCCCACACTGTTGTTAGACATTGGCTCATCTCCATGCAAAAAGCAGCTCCAAAGTATCTATCACAAGTTCAGCGACAATCGTTCAGTCCCTAAACTCCTCTCTCACTCCACTTTCCCATTCCTGGAACTGCCCTGCCCTGCAAGGGTCAAGGAAGGGCATGGCCTAATGTCTGTCGGCCCCTCTAGCTAGGACTAATCGCCCAGCACCATCACTGGGAACTTCTCTCTCCCTGAGAAATCATGCACCCCTAAACCTGGAGAATATCTGTAGGAGTATCTACATAAACTTGCAGCATACTTCTTCCTGGGCATTATAATAGATCACTCCTTTCTGACATGTGTCTGTCACACTCGAGTACCCTTGCTATTCGCACACTATATTGAGATTATCTTCCAAGAGGATGAGTTCTTCTTCTAAAGCCTGATGTGCCCTCTTGCTTATTCTGATTTTCGAAGAGCTCTAGAATGCCCCACTTTACTTATTCTCATGCAAACAGTTTAAAAGGTCACTAGCCTCCCTTGAACGTCCCATTTTCCATTGATATATTACTTTCAAAAAAAAAAGTTTGACCTCCTCAATTGTAAATAAAGTTTTATGTGTACCTGTTTTTCAAGGAAGGAGATCAGATATGAGGGCTCAGACATCAGATTATGGAATTTATTACTCACAAGCTACAAGAACAATCTATGTGATACTCCTGTGTAGTCAATCTGTGTAGTCCTCCATCTTCACTCTGACTTTATCGTGTAGCGAGAGAGAGAGAGAGACCAGTTTCTAAAACTTACTTCTTGGTTACTGCATCAAATCTTATGTAAGGACAAAGGGAATCTTATTAAAAAACTAAATACCAAGAGGCTTGGTTAGGTATGACAGTGCACATTTTATAAATGTTTTGGTAAACAGATATAAGAGAAACTGACTTGTGAGATAGTTGTTTTGCATTATGCTACATTCAAAGCCCATTGAAATTCCTCATTTGCATTGCCATCAGATCTATTTTCTATTCAGAGGAATGTTCTATTCTAAGTTCCAGATCCTCCCACCTTAGGTAGGCAGTTAGAACCTCTGTATCTGAATCTGTCAAGATGAGATTGTATTCAAGTGAGCTCTGTGTATCTCTGATGAAAGAAAGGATTTAAATTTACCCATTGAACAGATACATGGATTCATTAAAAGGACATGAATGCTTGGCCACAAGGAAAGCCTACAAAATAGCGAGTGGCATGAGTCAGTTGTTTCCTAATATGTGAGGACCTCAAAAAATTCATGGGAAAAATAGAACTATAGTACAAGTTTATTTTGGTGTGAAAATATTTTTGAAATCCATGTGTAGATTTTTTTAGAGAGATGTTTTTGCTATAGGGTATGTGTGCTCACCAGAGAGACAGAGACAGAAAGCAAGAAATCACCCCCCATGGCCTTGCTGCAATCCCTTTTCCTCCATTTTCCTCTCGGGATTTTGGGCACGCACGTACACGTGCCTGGCCTGAGTTTTAAGCCACCGGGTCTGGAATTCGAACTGTGGTCGACTCCGCGGTAATCCAGTGACGTAACCATTACACCATCTGCTGGTTTCCATGTGTAGTTTTTTTTAATAATACGTATTTTCCATGAACTTTCTTATATGAGAAAATTTCCGATTAGAAGTTTCTTTGGGGAAAACGTTCAGCAAATGGATATCATTTTTTTTTTTAATCAGTCTATCATTATCAGGAACAATGGGATTTGGTAGAACGTTGATCTGCAGCTGGGTCAGGTTACAGCCTCCTTCAGGCTTCAAGGTGGCTGATACATGTTTTCCTGTTGCTAACAAGCAAACCAGGCACATGAGAGCCCAGCCCCAAAGGTGGGGCTGCAGTCAGACCCTGGTCTGCCCAAGTCCGCAGCCTCCCGAGCAGGGCTCTCAGCTGAACTCTTCCCTATTCTAGCTCTGAGATGGCCCAAAACCAACTGACTCTGCTACCTGGTCTCCTCCCAAAGACCTGCAGCAGTTTGCACCAGGATCCCCTGGCTATCTTTTCTCAGAGGAGCTAAGAGACTTGCTCCAGGACTTTCTTTCAGCCACAGAAATGCTGAGTCAGTAGTCAACTGTTCAATTCATTGAATGCTTGTGTTGGCTTTATTTTGAAAATTCATTAAGTGCTGAGATATATTCCTTAGTAAATCTTCTCAGTTGTCTTAACAGTGTCTCTGTGAGTGGGAGGAAGTGACTTGTCGCAAATGACTCTAGGTGGCAGTGGTGGACCCAGATTTACAACAGCGAGGGCTCTAGGCCCCAAGCTCAGGGTTCTGCCCAATGACTGACACCTACAAAAATACCTTTTGTAATTAGAATAGAGACTATATCCTGTATATCTAATATAATGAAATTAAATTTTGTAAAATTTCAACCCACCCTCCAGATAATAAAATGAACATTTAGGGATAGTTTATATAAAACACAATAATATTTGACTTTTCAAAAGACAAAATCGGAATTACACTGTCTGTGTTAAATAGGTTTTATCTTAAATTTCACTTCATTGTTTTAATAATGTATGTCTTTCCATATAATTTAAATATTTGCTGAAAATGTAAACTTATTAGCTATGCAGGAAATTAGAAAGCAAATAATTACAATACACCCCAATGGTAGAATACTGAAAGTTGATCTCTTCTACTGGTAAAGAAGCAAGAAATTCTTCCATACAAAGTGTTACATTTTTTTGTTCCCTGAGAAAAATTACATAAGTTGTACTGTACATGAATTGGGATTTTTTTTATCTGTGAAATAGATCATGATGATTCTAAAATTGGGCAGAACCATCTGGAATATGAGTCATTTGACTAAGTAAAAAAAAAAAAGAGAGAGAGAGAAAAAGTAATACAGCACTGTGCCAGGAAACCAAAGATGTACATTATTCCTGGTGTTTCATAGACTAGAAATGAGAGATGTGGGAACATGAACATGTTAGAGTGGATTTGTTTCATCTGGAATTAACTGATACTGAGCTCCTATGGCTACAGAGCTACGGTCATAGATTCATCCAAGGGTGAGGATGTTTTGCCCAAATCAGCTTAAGAATGAGATAGAATGAGGACCAGCATTTGGCAGAATGGCTATGTCGCTGGACTTCCATGTGGTCAACTGCAGTTCGAGTCCCTGACCCGGTGGCTTAAACTCACACCGGGTACGTGTGCGTGCGTGCCCAGGATCCCAAGAGGAGAATAGAGGAGAAGGGACTGCAGCATGGCCATCCCCCCTGGAGATGATTTCTCACTTTCTGTCTTTCTGTTAAGTGCATGCGCCCTATAGCAAAATAAGGGCGGCGGCCCATAAAAAAAAACCCTCAAAAAAAAAAAAAAAAAAAAAAAAGAATGAGGGAATGTGGTAGGGTGGGGCCAGCAGGTGCCATAATGGCTAAGGCGCTGGATTCCCACATGGTAGACTACGAATCGAGTCCCACACCTGGCAACTTGAAACTCATGGCGGGCATGTGTGCATGTGCCCAAAACTCTGAAAGAGAATGGATGAGAGATTGTGGCACAACCATCCCCCATGGGGGGTGATTTCTTGCTTTTTGTTTCTTTGTCCAGTGAGTGCATGTGCC